TGCATAAGCTTCCAAGCATGCGCTATTCCTGTAATATGTTGAAATGTGGTCATAGCAAGATAATCCAGTCCTTGACTTAATGGATGCCACTGCATGAGTACACACAAAGTCCTCCAATTGAAACTCTCTACAAATACATTCTCTGGACTCAAGGTCAACCACAAATGCCCTACATCTTTGATCTATCACTTCATACTTAAAAATAGTGCTTGGTCTTACCTGTAAAAAATACAAAACAATCATATAAGTGGTTATATATGAATCCAATATAATTTTAACAATAATAAATCACAATACACTTCACTGCCATAAAAACAGTGTAACTGGAATTCAAAAGACCAATATTATAAGCTTTTATTAATAAAATTTTACTCACAATCATGCCGGCAGAATCTCTTAGCAAATTTACAAGCACAGCTTCTGCTTTTGGGGATAAAGTTGCTGCATTTTATGTGGCTTCTTTTCTTCTGTCATGAAACCATGTTTGCAATTTTAGCCTCAGAAACTCAACCAAAATGGATATCGGGTACTCCCTAGCAGTGGCATCCACATTATTGAGGGACTCTGCATTATTGGATGTCACTATTGAGTACCTCATTCTTGTCATTTTACATCTAGCCCAATTTTCACAACCGATTTCAGCTAGATATTGTTGAATCCTTGGGTCTTCAGAGTCCAGTAACTTCATAAAGTATTCATACTTTCTGCTTGTTGCCGACCTAGCAGCAACATTGAAAAACTTTATAACATTTTTCTTTTTCCCACCTAGCTTTGAAGTTATATTTCCAAGTATGTGTTGCACACAATACCCATGATGAACACCAGGATATACCACTTTCACAGCACTAATAAGACCTTCGTTTCCATCTGATACAAAGCACATTTCTTCTCTTTCTCCAATTGATTCTTTAAGTTTAGTAAAGAACCACAACTATGATTCTTTGTTCTCCTTTTCACACACTCCAAATGCTATTGGAAACAAATGTCGGTTTGCATCAAGAGCACATGCAGAAAGAATTGTCCCACGATATTTTGCTTTTAAAAATGATCCATCTACACTAAGTATTGGCCTACAAGCAAGCCACCCTTTTCTACTTGCTCCCAGTGACATAAACAAGTTCTTGAAATTATTCTTAGAATCAGAATTGAGAGATATAATAGATCCTGGGTTTTCTTGGTCCATTATATGACATAACATCGGCAATTTCATGTATGACTCTTTATCAGTTCCCGATATTGATGTCAAAGCCTTTTCCTTAGCTCTCCATGCTTTCTTGTAATTCACATTAACTCCCAATTTCCAATTTAAGTCTGCCATTATGGCTTTTGGTTGATATGGTTTTCGGGAGGCATCTAGGTATTGGTGCTTGATCATTTTTCCAATTATCAATGCACTGGCTTGCCTATTCCCACTCAGCCTACTATCAATTGAGCACATGTTTACATTATCAAACCTGTAACAAATGAAAATTTATTTAACACATTAGTATTGATTGTTCACCTAAAAACAAAATACTTTTAATATATAGTGACACAAGATTTGATGTAATTGCAACATGTTGTCACTGAAACATACCTTCTCACCTCAAAACAAACACTTTTATTCATTCTCACCCCACGTACAGCCCATTTTCACTTTTCTTCATAGCAAATAACATGAATAACATCAGGATTTGAGGTTTTGGTCTTGAACTGGAATTTGTTATGAAGTGCATAGAGTTGCAAAGTCTCCTTTAAGCTTCCTTTGTTTGGATATATTCCATTGATCCTTAATGTTGTATCCATCGCTTCCATGTCACCACTTCCTCCCCCACCCAACCATGTCAACAACGGTGTGTCTGTGGTTGAACATTGCTGATAAGTCATTGCATATTCATCCAACACCTCCTCATTATTACATCCACCCACTGTAGGAGCCACATTTGTTGTAGTGATTCTTTGTTCTGAATCTGCTACTCATATGTTAGTGTCACATACCCCTTCCATGTCACTTTTGCTATTTATTTGCACACACAAAGGGTATTTTGATACTTGTGTACAATCAACACCTTTAAGATGCAAATAAAATTGTAAACTACTGTCACTGTCAATCTGTGTTGGATCAAAATCTTTATCTATTTGGTATGAGATACAGTTGATAGTGACATCTGGATGAAGATTCAAAGCATCTTGTAAATCCTTAACCAATTCATTATATGATGACTTTGCATTTACCAGAACTCCATGGGTTGATCTTGCTACAAATTTCTTCTTAACGTTCCAGTGGCCATCTAACATTACTGTGGCCATAACTTTCTCCATTTTAAACAAAACAATAGCATCCAATTTTTTCACTTCACCTGAAATGATAACATCCAAGTTCAATGATAGAACATACTATGAAACTAACTAAGTCCTTAGTTACATTCATGATATCATCACCATTACTCTTACACTTCAGTTACTACATGCCTAGCAGTTACTAAAATCAAAGATAAAGTTCAGTAAGCTCAATACAGTTCGCAGTTACATTACGGTGTCACTACAGAGTTCCAAATCAAAATTCTATCAACTTATTTCAAATAAAATTCTGAAGGAACTGCAAGCAAATTTCATTGAATACACTAGGCATTTTGCAGTTACACTTTTATGATTACATGTATTACATCTATACAGTTCTACATGTATTACATGTATTATATCAATCAAATGAATTGAATTTGAAATTTGGAAAACAGTAAACACAACATCAAATTTTGAATACGGTTCATGTACTCGGTTCTACATCAATCACTGCAAACACAACACAGTTTTCAATTACACGATGCTAAACAAACTTTAATTCAAATGAATTTTTTCAAATCGAAATTCAGAAGGAATGTTATGAAAAATTCAACGAAAATATGAAATATTATGTTCGCAGTTACAATTGTCAGATCATCTCTATGTTCGCAAAAGTGTTGATGTCCAGTTATCAAATTCGAACTGATTAACGAATAAGTTAGACATCAAACTTACCTATGCGAGTCTGCGATGATCTTCGGTTTCCTTGTTCTGTTCGAGTTCGTTCCTGCGGTTGACAGACTTTGCGCAACCGGCTGTTTCTTAAATTCCGTTTTATTAGTTTTCGTTTTTGACCGGCCACATCATGAAGCTCTGTATTTTTGTAAAGTAATTCCTAAACTATGACCTTGGGCGTCACTTTTTAGGCCCAAATTTTTTATGGTCACTTTTATGGAAATATCCTATGCCCTAGTAATATTAGAGGATTTTTCCCTAATTCTTCTTCAAAAGGTGGGTGGGTAACCGACAAGGAAGTTGTGATTACCGGTTAAACGGGTTTCAAAATTTGAGTGAAGTCATATTTTTGGAAAAATGAAAAGTGGTCATATTTGTGTCTTGAGAAAGGTCAATAGTAATTTTGGTGCCATTTTTTCTACTTTTTATATAATTATTATGCAAATTTATGATTTATGATTGTTTTTTTCTTCTTTTTCCAATCATCCTTCTAATTTGAGTTTTTTAATTTCTGCATTTTATGTATGCTCATTTGGTACTGATGTTAATGCTCATATTAAAATGTTACTACTATAACAATGCATATTTCAAAAGTAGCATATTATATTAGATTCAAGTAGGATTTAGTTACAGATACGAGAGTACAGATCATGATATTCAATTATATTGCATGTTTTTAATACTCAATAGAGAAGATTTTTATTCTCAATGAAAACGTCTTGATACTCACTCAACTAAAAAACTTATGATTTTCCTACTAATGCTCATTTTATAATTTACGAATGCTCAATCGGTACTCAATTGCACGTTTTTAATACTCAGTAGAGGATGTTTAATGCTCAATAAAATATGTCTTGATGCTCAATTATTTTCATATGCTCAATCGATAGTGATGTTATGCTCATTTTTAAAATGTCATATCAATGCATATTTTAAAAGTATCATATGATAGTATTACATTACATTCACATATTGAACTTCACAGAGATTAATTGAACATATAATTTAATACGTTTCTATAAAAGAAAAATATAAAAGAAAGTGAATTAGAAGATATGAAGCAGAGATTGTGATATTCAATATTATACTCCTAATACTCAACATAATAGGTCTAGTGCTAATTAAAAGTTCATTAATGCTCAATTAACAGAAAGCGTTATTTTCATCTCAATATAGGAGGTTTGATGCTCAATGAAAATGTTGTGACGTCCAACTAACAAACCTTACAATTTTCATACTTATGCACATTTTGAAAGTTGTGTATGCTCATTTGATACTGATATTATGCTCATTTTTTTAAAATATCACATTACATTAAATTCACATATTGAAGTTTATAGAAGTTGATTATAGATATAATTTAATAAGTTTTTATAAAAAAAAAAGAAAGTGAATTACGAAAATGTCACCGTTTTTTTTGCGATATCAGCTTTCTTGTAATAACACAGTGCTCATTAAAATTGGACTATTGCTCATTAAGAGCACACTAATGTTCATTTATCAAAAACCGTGAATTTCACATTAATTAAAAAAATGCTACTAAATTGTTTTGCTATTTTTCCTTGGGTCTTTTATGTATGGACTTATTATGGACCTGTTTAGCTACCTATTAATTTGTTCCTCGTTGGGCCTATTAGTTTGGCGGCCTTTTGTTGTGCTATTCCTTCTTTCCTTGATGTTTTTCTACTCTTTAGCTTTATTTGTTCGCACTAATTATTTTTCCTTCATTCATTAGCGTTGTACTATTCAATAATACTCCCTCCGTCCCATTTAAAGGTTCTCGTCCACTATTCTCTGGTCAACAAGCATTATTCTTAATTTTTACTTTATATATCTAACTTTTATCAAATTTAAATTTTCTTGATCAGGCTTTGTAGCGATTTCAATGTATTTTCTGAATATGTAAATTTTATTTACTAAATAAAATTATTTTAATGACAGGAATCAGTTAACTTTATGGTCAGTCAAGTATCGTACACCGTGTGGGAACGTTTAAATGGGATGGAGGGAGTAATAATTTTGCCATTAACTAAAGTTCACGGCTTATAAATGTTGCCTTAATTCTATATACAATACACCCTTTGATAATGACATAAATTTGACTCTATCTATACTTTTGGAAAATAAAAATATGATTATTTCTTCTCAAAATACGACTAGTCCCAATGTAATAATTAACTTGACCTTCCTTCAGGGTCTTGCCAACTGCTTGCGTGATCCCAATTAATTTGATCATAACTAGTATAAAGTCCATCACTGGAAGTTTTCCAAAAGATGTTTTGGTGCTTTTTGTCTCTCTTAAGGGGATAATCATATAGCATAATAAAGAACCCCTGGTCCCGCTCAAAGAAACACGTATAGAAATCATAATGATCTATGTCTCTCACTTTGGCTTCAAATGAAAATTTCTGCCCGGGCTTTAATTTAGTATCCTTAATTGGCCCAACACTAGGTCCATATGTAAGGAGGACATCTTGATCATACCCGTTGATGATTCCGATGACCGGGTATTTGATTGCTGTGTATGTCGCATTTTCTGCAGAAGTCGTCAAGAACAATGCCGCAAGGACAATCCATATACTCTCATTATGTTTACCGGAGACAGCCATTTCTTCCTTTAACCCGTTTTATTTATTGATTTTAATGTGACATTTGTTCACGAAAATTTAAGTTGCATCATCGTACATCTCCATTCTTATAGTTTGGGAGGTAAGAACACATGCAATGTATGTACGTTAATTAGTTTTTATTTTTGAGTAATGAAGGTAAACGTAACTCCACAAATGCACATTAATGACGCTGCAACTTTTTCTCTTCTAATGCAAATGGAGTACCGATCCCCGTACAGTACCGTTTTTTCTCTTCCCATTCTCCCAGAAATCTAATATTATGGGAGTTCTCTTTCTTTTTGCTCCAAGTTACTACTTATCTTTATCTCTAATTAATTAATTAAGTACAATTGAATTTATATTTTTCTCTATCAACACTACTAAAAAACCTTGGTATAAGCAGGGATTTTGGCTCGGATAACCTCATGAAATTCCCAGACTATCGCTCTTGGTTTTGGCTCGGAAAAAACATATGTGCCACCTGGGTCGATCCAAACGTGTTGGCACGGAATATACGATCTGTGTCAACACTTGGCACGGGCTTTGTCTAGAATTTTGCGTCCCAAACATAGCATTCAAATTCCTCAAATTTGGAACGGAATTTCGTTGTCTCGGAAATTGCCTCGGAAGATAATAACCCAACCGACTCAATTTTATATCGGTTCATGGGTCGGAAAAATCCGTGCTAAAGAGTATTTCAGATATAAAAAAACGTATACGGTATACGCTTTTTTTATACATTTTTTATACGTTTTACATAATTTTTTAACTAAACTTTGATACTTTACCTAACAATTCACAATTCACGTATACTGCACCACATATGATGGATCGTGTACCCGGGGGGTAGCTTATCCGAGGAGTTATCACGGGGAGTAATAAGAGAGAAGTCAGAGCAAGTAAATATAGAGAGAGAAAGCATATTGCAAAGTGTGGAGCGTTTTCAGCGTGGTTACAAATGGGGAAATGGGGTGCTATTTATAGTAGCAATAAATGCCGGACAGGGACACGTGTCAAGCGTTCATTGGCCGAGAGGTCACCTCAACTGGTTGGCGCTGGCAACCGCATGTGGCCGCATTTAATGCGGCTGTTGGATGGGACGTTGTACAGGGTACGGTGATCTGTACGCATGTGGCGCGGATATCGTGTCGGAAGAGGTGCCCTCGGCTGTAGAGGACTGACCGAGGGCTCTGAGTACTGGGGACCCCCTTGGTGCCGAGGGCTCCAGGTGCCGAGGGCTACTGCTTTTCGCCGTTTTCCCAGTAGCTTTTTTTTTGCTGTGTTGGCCCTCCTGTGGGAGTTAGAGCCCTCGTCTAGGGGGGCGAAGGCACCCCTGGTGCGCATTGTGGGCAGCTTGGTACTCTGGGCGCTGTGATTTGGGCCTGTTGGGCCTTCTGGGCCTGTTGGGCCTTGATTGGAGTAGTAGGAGTCTGTGGGCCGGGGGTTCCCGGGCCATATACTCCATCAGGAGTCCCTCACTCCTTTTGCCGAAAGGTACTTGAGGGAAAAGGAGTAATAGTGTTTGTCCTCTGCCGTTGTTCCGTTTGTAGTTTGTAGAACTGTGGGTAGTTTGCTGTTTGTTGTTTCTGACGAGGGCAGTCCCTCAGTTACCCATATGTCGGGACTTGAGGGGTCATGTTTGTGATTTTTGTGATTTTTCCCGATGGGGTCCTCCAGTCCCCCACTCCTTGAGGCACTTGCAAAGTGGTGAAAAGGAGTAGAGTAGTTGCGCTGCTTTTGTGGGCCGAAGGCTGACGCTTTTCGTTTCATTTTGGGGGGATGTCTCGTTAAAAACCTCATTAGGAAAAACCCTGTGGGAAAAAATCCTAATGAGAGAAAAAGAGTGCACCGAATTCCCCCAACGATGAATCGAAAATGTGAAACATTGGTTCAAAATGGAGAATAATGATGATGCCGAAGGCTCCCCTTGTTCTGAGGGCTCATGTGTTGATTAGCCGGAGGCTAGTTGTCGATGTCCTGGGAGGTGCCGAAGGCGAGTCCCTCAATCTGGGGATCGAGGGCGTGATGAATGCGGGTAGCAATCGAGTTGTTACCGGGGGGGGGGGGTCCCCTGTTCGTTGATTAGTTGGTGATGAGGATCTCCGAGGGGTCCTGTTACCTGTGTGCCGTAGGTGATCCGTCAATGAGGCGTACTCCCCGGGGGCTACCCGGCTCTCAAAGTGTTGAGGGGGGATCCCCGAGGGGAGCCTGATATGAAGCCTTGGGCTTCCGAAGGTTTGATCCCGAAGGCATCTGTTATGTACTGTGTGGGCACAACCCGGGAGCGTCTCTGGGTAAGTGTACCCGGGGGCTCTCCTTGATGAAGTGGAGTGAAGTAAAAAGCCCAGGGGCTCCCAGAATATAGCCGTTGGAAATATAGCCGTTGGAATATGTAACGTCCGGATATAGCCGTTGGAGGGGGTTTGCCACGTGGTGCGTGCTCGTTGGCTGCCCCTGGGCGGGCGTCACCGATTGGGTGGAAACTCGGTTGGTAATGATGGCAGTCCAACCGGAGGCCCGGTTTCCAGGCCCAAGCCCGGATTCCAGCGCCTATAAATACCCCATGGCCGGCTTCCTTCCCCTTGTGCGAAATCATTATAGCGAAGCTCTGCCAAAATTTCTAGAGAGAGAAACAGCAGCCCTCGATCAAATTCTCATTCCAAGGTCAGTTCTCCACTCGTACTTCACCTTCTAAGTTAGCAGTCTTTGTGGCCTTAGATTAGGGGTGTAGCTTAAAGCACTTAGCACCTCCGAACCCTCGACTTAGTATAACGATGTCTTCACAAAGCGATTCTCAAGACATCTCGGGGGCGCCCTCGATGGAGGACGAAGTCATCTCGGACGTGGAGTCCTCAAGTGAACAGTCCTCGGCCCAGGAGGATGTCACGATGGCGGTGGAAGTGCAAAAAGATTTGGTGGCCGAAGTCGAAGCCGAGGGCTTCGAGCAGGAGGCGGAGGACGAAGAGCTTGCCCTCGCCGTACAAGTTGCGGAGGAGGAAGAAGAAAAAGAGAGGATGAGGGTGACGGTGGCCGTCCTCCCCCCTCGGGGTGCTAGTGAAGCAGGGAGCTCTCGACCCCTCGACCCGACGCCGATAAGAGTGGCCCCCGGGAACCAACCGGAGAAGAAGAAAACTGCACCCAAGAAGAAAAGTGTCGTTGTCGATCAGGGGAAACCCATAGATGTGCCCGAGGGGTATTCCTGGCTCAACACTGCTGCCCTGGAGATAGGGTCGAAGGCCGATAGGGAGGATATGTACGTGACCCAGCTGGACGTGGGGCCTTCGGCTGTGGTGGTGGCGCCGGGCCCAGATGACGTTCTTTCCCGGGCCCCCGAGGGGTGCATTGCTGTGCACATCCTGTCGGTGTCAATGGGGCTCCGGTTCCCCCTGCACCCATTCCTTCGGGAATATCTCCGGTATGTGGGCTTGGTCCCCTGCCAGCTGATGCCCAACAGCCACTCCTACGTGGCGGGCTTTCTGAATCTCTGTCGGGCCCGAGGGGTGACCCCCAACCTGGACCTGTTTTTCCAGAGCTTCAACCTCTGCCGAGGGGGTCATGCGAACGCCGAGGGGTTCACCAATCTGCAACAGGTGGCTCGGTGGAAGTTATTCACAGAAGCGCCCTCGTCCAACAAAGGCTGGAAGGAGAGGTGGTACTACGTCAGGATTGCCGAGAGCCCTTTCCCGATGGAGCTTAGGGATCGCTTCCGTCGGCATCCGAAGGTCGGAAGTGCTGCTTTGGAGAAGGATGGCTCGATAATAGCCAAGATTCCGGCGGGCCGCACGAAGCAAGTGTCCATCAAGGACTTCACTGCTGACAAGGAGCTTTTTGCCCTCGGCTTCCGCAGATATCGCTTCCTTGGCGAAACAGACGAGAAGTATCCTGTGCTGACAGGAGGTAGTCTCCGAGGGCTTCCCCTCTATTTTTCTTTCTGTACTTAGGATTTTTCCCCCTTTCCTTTCTTTTGCTCTTTTCTCCTTCGGTCTAACCCTTTTGTTTGTGTTTGCAGGAGTTAACATGGATGCCGGCAAACTCTTCGCCCTGAAGAAGAAGAAGGGCAAGTCCCAAGCCCAAAAGAAGGACCCTTCGGTCCAACTGCCCGTGGGAGCCTTCTTCCAAAAAGAGGTCCCAGAGCCCCCTGCTGCGGAGGGGGTCGTTGGTGTGGCGGAGGGGGCCACAAAGAAGAAGAAGGGGGGCAAGGTGGTTGAGCCCCCGGCCAAGAAGCAGCGGGGCACAGGGGGCACTGTCGCCCAGGATGCCCCCTTGGTGATCATCGAGGATCACCCCTCTCCGGACCCCCCGGTTGATGTTGCGGTGACGGCCCAAATCAATCCTCCCTTGAGAAGCCCCCCTCGGGAGATCCTGCAGCTCTCTCTGGCTCCGGGGGCTTCGGTTCTACATGGCTCGGCGGAGCCGAAAGCTTTCCTGATGGGGATGACCTCAGTGATGGACAAGGCTGACCTCTCCACCTATGATGACGAGGCCCTCGAGAACAGGATCCTCCAGTCTTCATTAACCGTAAGTTTGCTCCCTTAGGTTTTGCGTTTAACTTTCAATGTTATTTTTATGTTAATCTGATCCCTCCTCCTGTTGTTTTTCAGGCTTGCGTAGCCCTCGGGGAGCACGCACGGAGGCTTGAGCAATGGCGCCTCCGGAAGGTGGAGCAGGACCGGGAGATGAAGGAGCTCGTCCTGAAGAACTCCGAGGCCGTGAAGCAGATGGCAATGCTGGAGGAAGATCTCCGGAAGGCTGCCGAGGGCAAAGCTGCAGCGGAGGAAGCCAGGCGTGAGGCTGAGAGGGCAGCCAAGAAGGCTGCCGAGGAGGCGGAGATTGCTAAAGCCGAGGCCGTCGCCAAAGCCCGGGAAGAAGCTGTTGCCGCCTTCGTGGCCGAGGGCTGGAAGACCGAAGACAGGCGGCAGTGGGTGGCCTCGGTGGTGGAGTCTTCGGTTGATGACTGGGTGAAAGGCCCCGGAGCTGATTGGATGGCCGAAAGAGGGGACAGCTATTATCAGGGGGGCGAGTTCTTCACCCAGCATCTGGTGTACCGGA